TTCCTTTTTCTGTAAGCTAGTTTCCCTCAAACCTGCAAGGATGCTAACTAATCGATATGTAATCTATAATTTGTAGATAAGTTGAATCACAACCTAAAGTTGGTTTAGCTTTCTGTAATTCGTTATACATTTAGGAGTCATCTCATTCTCCATTAGGATTCCCAATTTTCATACAATATCAGTTGAGTTGATTAAGTTATGAGCCAGTCAAACGTTCAGACACCGATTTACAATATATAGCAGTTTGCTAAAGTTTAAACTTTTGATAATCTGCAAATAAATGTAAATGGACAACTGAAGCTTGGCCGTGTGCCATGTTCTTCATTCTGCAGATCCTTTTTATGTTTTATTCCCTTTAAATAGAAAGCTTGGAATCTTCGTCCTGCTCCATATTCATACACAAAAAAAGGGAAAGGAGGAAACTTGTTATCACTCCTCAGTTATCCAATAGTTACTGCAGTAATTTCTCTTTAGTAGCAGTTATTTTCCTGTAATAGTGCAGTCTTTCATTCCAGTTAAGTTAGGAAGTCATGTCCTAGTTTCTAGGGGTAGTTATTTTATAAGTATTGTATTTAAACTATCTAGTGTCTGGGAAAATATAAGTAGAAAATTATTCAAGTCTTTGAGTACGTCAAACTCAAGAGATTGCAGGTTCTCTCTTAACGAACCAGCACCATAGGTCGTAGGGAGAAAACATTTGATTTCACACTACAACGCTCCATAACCATATCCATATCAGGGGACCATAACAAAACTATGGAAATACTGAATGGAGGACATCATTGACTCTTTCTAAGACAAGCTACTATTATGTTCAAACTTGTACCATGACTTAAGTTTATAATATGCATATCTAAATAAGTAAGTTGGAAGATAGATTTGATAAATCCTCGTCTATCTATTTGGGCTTCAAACTCTTTATCAGGAGTTAGATCTGATCATTAAAAGCAATAGCATAATTCTGGAGTTCATTTTGCAAGTTCTGTCGATGTCTTCTATTCTATTTCTAAGAGCTCCCTTTGCCCAGTGGTGATATTTTACAATCCATTGGCTTATTGAGCCTCTTTATATACCTTCCTCTTTGATTTCTCAGGAACATGAGATGGTGGACGAGGTGTATGAAGTTACCCACAGAGTATTCTTGGATGTGGATATAGATAAACAACGTGCAGGTATGGACTCATTCTGCTAACGTTCTTATCTTATTAGATGTTATTGAGTTAATGAATCACAAAAAATTCCCAAGTTTTTTAAATGGAAAGCACAAGTTCTCTGCACACAATAATAGAGAAAAATGAAAAAAAAAAAGAAGAAATATAAATGGGCTGAATGAGTGACCTAAACTTTCCGTATTAACCTTTCTGAAACAGTTTTTGTCCCAATATGTCATGCTGACATAGTTACTTTCCCTTTTGGTTTGCGTAAATTTGTGATCTGTACAGTTTGTCCCAATATATCCCCATGTTCAGTGTTCACCACTTCACCTTTTGATTCTCATGCTAGTAGTCAGTGAAGGATCCTAAATTCCTAATGATTGCCCTATCTACTCATTCGAAAAAACAGACACATATTAGAGGACATATAATGACTTTGATCTATTAATGATTAGAAAAGCTGTGGTTTGGTATAGTATGTGCTTCATTCAAGGACAATGATACTTATGAACTTGCATTGCTCTATACTAGCCCTGTTCCGCGCTTACATGGTTTGGAGTGTGATGGTTTACTTCAACTAGTTGATCTTTTTAGAACAAATGCAATGTTTGATGAAACCCTACAACAAGTATTTTAGCCACAACTTCTAACAATTATGAAGATTTAGGAATTGTTTGAGAAAAATTTCTAACAAAGAAGGGTCTTTTACCAAGAAAAAGTTATTTGAATCTCCAAATAATTATTTGGAGAGTCAAATTATGATACAGCAGGATAGATGGAATGTGATGAATATCTAATGAGCTTCATATGTTGAAGAAGAAAAGATCTTCACTATTTTGATGATTTATGGAATATCAGAATTTGTGCACGGTGAAGACTGGGAAACATTTTTGTGTATTGACGATCCAAATTTTGATAATTCGCAGGAAGAATTGTGATAGGATTATATGGGCAAGTTGTACCAAAAACTGTTGGTACGCCTTTATCCATCCTTTTCCATACTTTGCTTTCCTCTTCAGTTTCTTTTGTTCTTCCATTCTTGTTGCATAATTCCCGCCATTTTACTTCTGTGCAGAGAATTTCAGGGCGTTGTGCACAGGTACTTTTGTAGTTATAACTGGCACTGTTTTGTGCCTTCTTACACACACTTACATATACACATACCTACACATATACATATATGTCTGTGTGTAGATGTCACATAATTATTTTTGACTAACAATTGCTGCACTTATTGTCGTTGACTCAGGGGAAATGGGCAAGACTGCTGATGGAATATCTCTTCACTACAAGGGAAAGCCATTTCATCGTATAATACCTGGATTCATGATTCAAGGTGGAGATATTGTGTCGGCTGATGGAAGGGGAAACATTTCCATTTATGGTGGTCCCTTTCCTGATGAGAATCTCAAGATAAAGCATTCTCATGCAGGTTTGAAATCATCACTTGATTGCTCTAACTCTCTCCATAGGCAAACCAAAGGCAAATTTAAGTACATTCACCTGTTTGTGTACATTTATTAGCATCCTTGACTTTTGCAGGTGTTATATCCATGGTGAACTCAGGACCCAACTCCAATGGCTGTCAGTTCTTTATACCGACAGTTAAGGCAAGCTGGTAAGGTTTCAAAGTGACCAGTGAATGCTCATCTAATTATGATTTAACACAGTATATAAGACGTTTGCGAAACAATACAACAACATACCTAGTGTAATCTCATATGTGGGGTTTGGCGAGGGTGGGTGTACACAGACCTTAACCATGCGTTTTTGAAACCATAAAACAACTATAATCTTGAATTTTTTGCTTCAGCACTTCCGTGGTGCTAATTATGAACGGAATGGACCTTACCTTTCTCGAAGAAAAAAACAAATTACTAGTCAAAACAATATCCCAGTTGGTTTTATCCTGCATTGTTTTATGGAAGAACCATATAAGCCTTGAATGTTCCGAAATTTCTCATATTAACACCAAAGCTACAATCAGGTTGGACGGGGAGCATGTGGTGTTTGGCAAGGTTATTGAAGGTATGGACACAGTATATGCAATTGAGGGCGGAGCAGGAACTTACAGTGGAAAACCTAGGAAAAAGGTGCTTATTGCAGATTCCGGGGAAATACCTAAGAGCAAGTGGGATGAGGACAACCAGAGTTCAGCTTCATAAATATCGTCAAAGTTTTGAAGTTACTAACCAGCCCTATATACATTCGACACACGTACTATTCTCGTGTATTACAAGCTTAATTTATGTGGTGCTAATTATGAAGTCCTATATTTGATTCATTAACCTTACGGATACGAGTGTTTTTATACTTAGAACTGGTTGTGAATATTTTTGGTTTTGTAGAGGAACGGAATTGAACCTATACATTTTCTTTACATTAAAACTGGCATGCTGGTTTTATCCATCATTGCATACTGCCAAGTTCCTTGAGCTTTTTGTACTTCATTAGGATCTGAAAGAGTTGCCAAGACTAATATTTGACTAAGACGAGTTTAAATAGAGCGATATGGATAGTGATGATTTATATAGCCATAGTTACTGTTTTATTTACCTGTTAGTGAGGAAATGGATGAAGTCTTGTTTTTCTTGTTGGCACTGTCAGCATCAAGAAGTTGAAACTGTGTGGACCACATTATCTCTTTGCTGCATGTGAAAATGAAACAATATTCTTAGGGAGCGTTTGGCCATGAACTTTTTAAAGCTTTTTTCAAAGTTAAACTCCGAAAAACATGTTTTGGGAGGAATCTTGAATTTGACACGGTTTATTTGGATTTTGGGGGCGGAGACGGCTGAGGGGTCTCGAGATATTATGCCATTTTTCACTGATTTGCTAGTGAGAAACCACATTGGATGTTCATTATGTCTTGTCATAAATTATTTATCAATCAACTTTTTTCCTTTTCTCTGAACTTTTCAACGAGTGCAGTTTCTTTTGTTTTCATTGATTACTAAGCATCTCAGAATTATTTACGATTTCAAAAGACTATCATGTGCTTATTCCACAAAACAAAGTGCTATTGTCGGAATTTAATATATTTTTCTCTCACAACTCTCATAAAAAAGAAGCTCTAATTAATGAGGATAAGAAACTTTCTGGTCTATCTCATACGAAAGAAAAATATCTGGCAACAAAAACAATGCTCTTAATTCTGTTAGGATTGGATAATAGACAATGTGCTAATGATCAACAACAATAACATACCAATGAAATTGCACAAATTGACTTATGAAATCACACAAATGATGTCAATGTACTAATGATCAACATAAAAATAATAAGTATGATCCGAACAAAATGAGTAGATATAGAAAGTTTCATATAGTCTAGTACAGGACTTGTATGATATTGTGAGTATAATTTTTATATTCTCTCGATTCTTTCCTCCTATGATTCGACGTAGTTATCGGCGTATTTCTCAAATTTGGACCTCTTTGAAATATGTTTGATGCCAAAAATGTCAGGCAACACTTCGATTTCGAGATGATCTTAACTTAACTTTGAGAAAAATAGTAGTTAATGCTTAAAACTGTCATTTGGGATGTGAGAAGGACTGTTTACACGAAATATTAAAGTGATAAAAAATAAATTGCAATCAACATCATAATTTGATTATATCTTGATTTTTGTATGAATATTTCAAAAATTTATGAAATATTTGAAATGTCTCATCAAGAGAATATAGTACATTTATTTAAATAGATGAGAAATAAAAACATGTCTTCCTATTAGATTACGATGCCTACAAATATATTTAAAATTAGTGGAGTCAATAATTTTTAACTAATTAGTTATGAATGTTAAATTACTGGAAAATATCCAGAGTGACATAACCTTGTAGAATTCGATCAATTTGGGTATAGAATAACACCAAATTGTCGCACGTGGGTGGTCTTAGCTAGCAACCACCGACCAACCTCGTCATCACCACCACCATGTACTACCCTACCCCCACCCCCACCCCCACCACCCCATTCTCTTCTTTCTTCTTCACAATCTAACTTCCCCAAAACCCAAGAAAGATTCTTGATTTTTCCGCCATGGAAACCAGTGAAGACCCAAACAAGCTTTCTTCTACTCTTGCCGACCCAACCACACAACCCCTTCTCTCCAAACCCTACCCTGTTGATGATTCTATAGCACCCCATCACTACCCTGGACAATCTTCTTTAGACCCAGATGATCAAACTCAGTTCCTTCAGATCTCTTACAATTTTGGGCCTCGACCCTTAAAGGACCTTCCTTTTCTTGTCCTTTTTGTTCTTCTTGTTCTTTGCACTTTTGGTTTTGGTATCTTTGCTTCTGTTCATAGAAATCCTCATCACTCTCAAATTTCATCTTTTACCTACAATTTCACCTCATCTTCTTGTAGTCTTGAGAGTTCTACCTTTGAGAGTTCTAGTGACTTTTTTTCACTTTACTCATCTGATTCTAGTTTCTTGAAGAGTTTGATATGGACCCTTGTAGTTACTTTAATTCTAAGCATACCCTTTATGCTTTTTGTGCTTTTCTTGCTCAAGCGCTATACAAAGCAGATAGTTTATGCTTCACTTCCCTTTTTTGTAATTGTCCCTGTTTTTCTTGACATCTACTGGTTTGTTGCTTGTACTGTGAACTCCAAATGTAGTGAGGATTTCCCTTTGGCTTATAGAATTCTGGTGGTTGTTTTCGTGTTGTTGTTAATTGGGCTACTTGTTTGGATTTTCGTAGCGAATTGGCATAGGATTGAGTTGACTATTAAGATTATTGGGGTTGCTTCTTCTGCCCTTTCAAGTAATTTGGGATTGTTTGGAGTGCTTCCATCATTGACTTTGGGGCTGTTAGCTTATTATGCACCCATTGTTGTTTTCTTGGTGTTTGCTAGGCTTAATGGAGAAGTGGTACCCAAGGAAAAACATGGGGGGTATTATTGTGTATGGAAACAGGATAGCTGGGTTCCTGCTTATTATACATTTGCAATCCTAACAATGCTTTGGTCTGCCACAGCAATGATTGAGGCACATGTTTATGTCATAAGTGGAACAATTGCACAATGGTACTTCTCCAAGGATGAATCAGGTCCCAAAAGGTCTATGAGAAGTGCTTTGAGGTGAGTTCCTAATCTTTAACATTGATTGTGTAGTGCCTATAAATATGAGTTTATTCTTTTGCAGTTAATTATCCATGCAAATGATAGCAGAAAAGTAAAAGTTGTAGAGAGCACCTTATATGTCCTTCATGCATGCAATGGCTGTTTTTCTGTTATGCTGTCTACATCTCAACTGATCCTATGTTATGATTCTGGAATTCTGAGGGATGCTTGTAGTATGCGTGGAATTCATTGTTGACCCTTGCACTATTGGCAGTTATACTCCCTTTTTTGGTCAATAAGCGAGATATTATAGCATAATATTAGTTAGCACCATTCCTTTTTGCCAAGTTATGTGCCTTTGGCATAGGAATAAAGCCTCAATAGCTAATGACAGTTGTCGGTTGTGTTGCATTGACTAGATGGTCCTAAACTCACTGGAACTCAACCATTCAACTTGTTCATGCTCTCAATCTTTACTCAGTTATCTGTATGATTTAGTACCAAATAATGCACCACAAGGGGAAAAAAAAGAAGAATATAGGAAAAACATGTCCCCTAAGGCATTGATTCAGGGGCAAAGTTAGTACCACGTTGGATGTGTTGTATGTGCACATCACTAGTTCAAATCATGCTAGCAAGCCATGTCTGGTATTTAAGCGGAGAAAGGGTCCACCAAGTGGATTTCTTGATTATCAAAAAAGATACTACAACTACTCTTCCCCAGTGTAGTAAATCTAATTTGAAATCTCTCGGTTTAATTGTGTTAGAATTATAGATTATTTTTTCTGTAATTAAACCATGTGAAAGAAGAGTTAAGAGAGAGAGAGAGACAGTGAGGAAGAAGCATACGACAGGGATTGACATTGAGCCCCTACTTGTTTACCCTAGTTATAGATAAGTTAATCAACACAATTCATGATGAGGTCATGTTGTGTATACTATTTGCTAACATTAATTGACTAAATCGACGAAAGTGTCGATCAAAATCTTGAACAATAGAGAAGCACTCTGTAGGAATTTTAGAATAAGTAAAAGTAGAATGAATATATGAAATTTCAAAAATTAAGTCAGCAAAAGAAGAGTGAAGTTGAGGTGGATAAGACAGAATGACAGATTGTGGTGCCTAAATGAATGAGGTGGATAAGACAGAATGACCAAGGTGTTATGTGATAGAAGGATGCCTACCAAAATGAATGTAAGCTATAAGACAATCAATGTTGTACGAGTATTGCGGATATGCGAATTCTAGGATGGATGTGTCTCCATACAAGATTAGACAAGATTAATAGACCACATTCGCCAAAAGGTGCTCATAGTATACATTGAGGATAAAATGAGAGATCTCTTGAGATGGTTTGGTCATGTCTTACGCCGACCAGGCGACCACCATATGCACACTTAGGTGTGAAACCATGGTCCATGGTAAATGAAGGTGTTAAAGGGGGGGGGGGGGGGTTACGCCTAAAATTACATGGAAGGCAGTTGTCCTGTAAGACCTACAATCCTATAAAATCTATGCAGATTTACAAAAGATAGGGCACAGCAGATGGAAAAGATCTATATAGGCAATACCAATTAATTGGGAACATGTCCTAGTCATGTTAGTACGTTTACTTTAGGTCTATGGATTTCATTAATCTCATTAACCTTTTCTACCCTGTTAGTGATATATTTTTAGTTTTATTTTGTATAATGTTGTCTTGGATTAATTTAGATGGAGAAACATGGTCAATAAGGATTCTTACATCCAAACTCAACTTGTTTGGACTAAGGATGTCATTGTTATTATTTCCTTTCAATGATGAAATCCTTGCTTTACGTTCTTGTTTCAGCTTCATGATTAGCTGCCTGGATCTATAACAAATTTTCTGTTCTTCCTCTGGAGTTTCTGTATGCTATAATCCTCTTAAAATAATATCAGATGTTGTAATGCTTGATGTATTATTCTTTTGTGAAATTCTGCAGAAATGCATTTGGTCCATCCTCAGGCACAGTATGTTTCTCTGGGTTACTGATTGCTGTGGTTCGTATTGTTCGTTCCATGGTTGATAATGCAAAACAAGAAGATTCTGGAATTGTGAACCTTATTTTGCGATTTTGTGCCAATACCTTGCTGTCAGCGGTTGAGTTTGTGAATAAATTCACCATAAACTTTGCTGCTATAACTGGTGAAGCATACTGCACTTCTGCTAAGATGACATATGAACTTCTAAAGCGCAATCTTCTCTCTCCAGTGTTTGTGGAGACTGTCTCCACTCGCTTACTGGCTGGAATAATCTTTGTTCTCTCAACATTATATGCAATATTGGTGAGTCGCTCTGGATGTTGATCAATTATCTTTTTTCAGAACTTCCTATCAGGTTCCTTGAATTTGAGAATCTATTCCGCTCAATTATTCTTAAATCTATAGCAAGTGCATGAGTTCATTCTTAAAGATTTGGAGTGACGTAGCTCTAGATGATCATTAAGAATATCAAGATTTGGTCTCAATGATACTAGGACTCTCCTTCCATATCAGTGAATGGGAGTTATCAATTTTATAAAGCTCTGACATAGTTGAACTGCCCACAAAAATCTCAAGAAGTGAAGAGACATATCTTTTATGCTTTTTTCCTTCTTTTCAGAATATACTTTTTCAGTTATATTTATTTCTTAAGCTATATGGTTAAATACATCCATTGTCTGCCTTTATAAAAAATACCTTCAATTATTTGCTTCCAGGTTTTTCTTGTGGTAAGAGCTGCTAGTGATCTTGATGTCGAATCATACTTTATTGCTGTTCTGGCATGGCTGCTGCTGATGGTGGTTCTTGGTTTCTTCGTCTTTGTTTTGGATAACGTCATAGACACAGTATATGTTTGTTATGCGATTGATAGAGACAGAGGAGAGGTATGTAAACAGGAGGTTCATGATGTTTATGTGCACCTTCCTATCAGTAGGAGTCATAGTTCTGCCTCTTACGGTGCCAGAAGTCCCCTTCTTGTATAACGACTTCAATGTGTTGTTCTGTCTGTAATTCTTTTTCTCCTTTTCGGTTTCGGTTTCCCTTTGTAATTGCCGGATCGGCCTGTTAGGCAGGTTGTGCAGTGAGGTAAATTTATTCTGTATAACAGTGTTTTTCCAATAAAAATGAAAATATTTGCTAACTGTGCCATGATCTCTATAGTTAGGGAATAAGTAGTCTTGAGAGTTGACATTACTGAATCAGTTATATCTATTTAGTTTTTATTTCCCAAAAGAACTTCCTATGGTTTCTATTCTTATTCTTCGATTTTTCTATTATCTGTTGTTTTTAACCTTTTGCTTAGGTTATTTTATTAAGTATTTGTTATTGCTACTGTTCTTTTTCCCATCATTTTCAGCATTTACTTCTTCACTACTGTATTCCTTTTCATATTATTTTTATATGTGGTCACTTGAGCCGAGGGTCCTTCAGAAACAATCTCTCCACCTTCACGAGGTAGGGTAAGGCTGCGTACAGAGACCCCACTTGTAGGACTACAGTGGGTATGTTGTTGTTGAACCCTCTATGTTTTTTCTCTTGTAAATGATTATAGAGGACAGCTAGTGTCTGCTTAATTACATATGCTAGAAACAATTAGAACTTCTGCTGGACCATAACAACACTACATTTGGTCCATGGAGTAAGACACTTTGCAAATTTGAGATCCTCTGTATGATCTGTGAATTATGATGCTGATAGTTTTGTTTCAGCATCCTATGTTGGAAAATCTTTGGGGTACAAATTTTGGCAGATAGTTGTTGTATGATCCCAAAGGATAAAGAAATAGGAAGTCAAGTTTGCAGGGTAATTGCTGTCGCAGCCAGATTGTCAAAACTACAAAGAAGAAAAAACTATAAGGGTGACAATGCAGATTGGGTATATCATGCAATCACACATGTGGTAAGTCTTAGCTATTGTCATGCAATCATACATGTGGTCTCAATTATGCTATACAGTGTCTTGCTGTATCATCGTTTGATTGTTCGATATGTTTCCATGTTTGTACTCATTTATTGTGTCTACAAGGGACCATGTTAGGAAATAAGTTTTGTCCAAAAAATCTCTGAGGAGCAACTAATGCATGATTGGAAACTCAATGGAAAATGGGCCCGTTTTTCTGCTTTCTCCTCTTAAATACCAAGCTCTTACTATGATGCAGAGTTCGAACTTTGTGACATGGCATCAAACTTGTTCTTCTATCCTTCTTTGCTTAAATACTAGGCTTTAAGTTCGAGGTAGATTCAAACTCGTGGCGTGAGCCCAACTTGAAGGTCATCTTTTATAATCTGTGAATTTTGATGCTGACAGTTGTTTCAGCATTCTATGTTGGAAAATATATTTGGATACAAATTTTGTTGGCTAGTTGTTGTATGATCGCAAAGGATAATAGAAAGTCAAGTTTGCAGAGCAATTGCCATCACAGCCAAAACTACCAAGAAGAAAAAACCAGAGGTCTACTGCAGATTGTTTATATCATGCAATCATATTTGTGGTGATAATTTTTTTGCAAATCACCAAAAATTCAGACACCATACAATTAATGGCCTCTATCTACAACATTAAGGGAAAATTATGCTCTACCACTTGAGTACATCCATTAGGAAGATCCACAATAGTTTATTTTTCATCTATAGCCACAATCCTCTTTGTCACATTACAATCAAGAAATCAGGATAGGAAGTTCCATTGAACAACCATTTTCTCCTAACATGTTCTAAACTACAGTTAGGTTGTAAGTGTATATTCTCCTACATCCAACATAGTCAGAGGTAGATTCATAATTAGGTTCTGGATTCTAGGACAACGACGACAGGTATATATTTAGTGAATTTCTTAACACATACTCCCTCCGTTTCAAAAAGAGTGGTCTGGTTTGACTTGACACGGAGTTTAAGAAATTAAAGAAGACTTTTGAATCTTGTGGTCCTAAATTAAAGTTATGTCAAATGTACAAAATTTCCCTTAATCTTGTGGTCTTAAACATGCTACATGGAAAGCAAAAAGTAAAATGTTACCAAAAAAGGAAATAGGTCATTCTTTTTTAAACTGACTAAAAAGGAAAGGAGGTAATTCTTTGTGAAACGGAGGGAGTACATAATTTGAGCTAAAGTTACTGGGTTGTGCTGAATTCATATATTAAAGCCCACTTCCATCCCCCTGGCCATAGTTACCATGAGAATACAATAGAAAATGAAAGTACCTAGAAATTTGGTGGAACAAAAACTCTTAGTAGGGAGCGTTTCCTTCTCTAGTAGGTTTTATGTTGAGAATTTTGATTAATTGGATCAGTGAATTTTGAACACCGAATGGATAAAACAATGGGAAAAAGGAGGTATTGGGATAGAGAAGTATAGTCAAAGCACATGGTACAATTGTGGGCTGATAGGATTTTAGTGCACAAAGAACATAGGGCCAAGTTGATAATATGACATGTCTCCTCATCTACATCCAAATCTTTACTTACTCTGATGGGCTCTCTTAGATTTTAGTGTTTGTAATTCTCTAATATTTCTCTGATTCTTCCATATCTTGTTGTAACTCATGGAATTGCCATTCCATACAGTGTCTTGCCGCATTAATTGATGACATGAATATTATAATAATGAGGTTATTTACTACATTCTTAGACAATCTTGTGGGTAAACTCAACCTTTGGGATTTACATCTTCGAAATCAGGAACTCATTTCTATATGAATCATTCTTATTGAAAAATGCATAAATACCCGCTTTTTGGGATCACCGTTTAAGTCATACTCGCAGTGCGTAAAAGTATGTAAGTTTGGCTTGCCTAGTGCGGGTTACCTCACCTATGTGGTTTGCGAGTTATTGCATAGGAGTGGGGGTTTTACCCTGTGCGCACCCAAAGGGTAGCGGTTGCGGGTTTCCCTTGTCATAAAAAAAAAAGAAAGTATGTAAGTTTGCCTACTTCAGAACTTCTTCATATATGTTGTGTCTACCGAAGTTAATCATTTTTATCTGAAGTTCAAGCACATACGCCAGAACTTTAACCATTTGTGGTTGAATTCAATCATTTTTGTATTTAGTTTATGCACATATAGCTAAAGTTTAGCCACTTTTGCCAAAAGTTCAAGCAGATATGTTTGAACTTCAGTCATATATAACTTCAAATGTTTGTTTGAAGTCATTCTGAAGTCATTGTTTTCAACAAAATAAGTACATATTAAATAACGATATCCAAAATAAAGTACCAATGAAATTTTTACAAGGTAAATGTAATTCATTCTTTATTTTTCTTCTTCTTTAGAGATCTTCAAAGAAATGATTTCTTTTATTTACATGTAGAGATGGATAAGAGGGTGCGACCAATCCTTTTTTCAACTTTGCTTTCACGCCAAGACTTTTTAGAAATGCAGAGAAAAAAAGAGAAATGAGATGTGCTTGTGCTATCCTAAAAATGGACCACATATTTTTATTTTTATTCTTGGCAGTTAAAATAAAGGGTATTTCTGAGATTAAATAAGCTTTATAGCCATGCCAAAAAAGTTCATTTTATTCCCGGTTAATTCTACTTCAAAAAACCTGAAATGATATGAGTCTACTTGTAAGCGATAGAATAGTCAAAGTACGTATAATATAGTTTGAATATTATCGCTAGAAAAGAAAAAGATTATCTTATCAATTATTACGTCTCAACCTAAACTAATCAGGGTCGGCTCTATTAATGTTTTCATATGTGTTTTGCTTTTACTTCTTCAAAAATTCAGTAATGTGCACTCAAGGATGTGTTTGGTGGTCAAAAATAGTTAAGACCAAGGTTTAAATTCAAATAACGATAGAAGACTATAGGTAGTTTATTACATTTAATTTGTCTAATATTTACGATATAATTGAATTGTATACGTAGTTTAAAAACATGTATATTGAATGGATCATATAACAAAATTATTGTGAATCAATTCGTAAGGAATAAACAATAAACAAGGAGTAATTGAACAATAAGAATTAAGACTAAAAGTACAATTATCCTGAGCTTTGATGTGTTTGACTGACAACGTCATTCAAAAATATGATTTTGAATATTTAAACTGTTAAAGCTTAATAACTTTGAGTATTAGAACTTGTGGTGTAATGCTTGTGAATGAATAAAATTCAGATGCCCTCCAACCAGAAGGTAAGACATTATTGATAGCTAGTTATAGAAAACATGATTCCCAAATCATTCTCGCATAAAACCATTTGATCTGTCGTTTTTGTCATGTGTCTTTTTTGCCTATCTATTAAGCCTAAATTTTACCCTATACATATAAAATTTGTAAGACAAAATTACCCAATACTTATATTCTAGTAGAGGTACTCAACAAATTAATTGAGATAAGATACACAAAAAAATAAAATAATTGAGACATTACCATTATTGGGGGAAAAATTCGACTGATGTGGCATTCAGTGTCCATTTTTTTTTATGATAATGATGCTAACCACAAGCATTATTATAATTTTCCTTAATATGTCCTCAACCCACTAATTATTCTTATAAATTAATTAATAGTTTAAAAGGACCTACATGCGCTTAACATTCTTTGAGAAATAACCCATTTTCCAATAGGGCAACAGCTTCCAAGACAAAGCAGAAATCCCAATGGAGGCTAATTTGGTCATTTAATCACAAAATTCCATAGATCTAATAAACTTGTAATATTACCCATAATCTAATGGCATTTGATTAACCAAATCCTATTTAAAAAACCCCTCTACTCAACCTTTTTTCCCCAATTCTATTTTCCACCTTTCTTCGCTTACAAGAAAATATAACATCAAATTTTCTCTCTAATTTACTTGCATCCTTCACCATGGCTATGGCTTTTAAGATGGTATACATTTTGTCAATAAGCAAATAAATATATATATCTTCTCATTTTTACTTCAATTTGAATAGTACTATATGCATTTATTAATAATCGTAACATAGTCATTAGGGTAGTCGATTTTTTAACTTGTTTGAGACTGAGATGATGATTATTTAATTGACAGGCGACGACGGGCATGTGGGTGACTGATGAATGCAAGAATTCATACATGGATATGAAATGGAAGAAAAATCATAGGTATATAGTTTACAAAATTGATGAGAAATCAAGATTGGTGACAGTAGACAAAGTTGGTGGACCTGCTGAAAAT